CAACAACATAACAGAATAATAGAATAAAAATGCATGAAGGATTATTTTGATGAGTATTTTTTTTTTTTCACAAATCTTGAAACTTAATGAATATTAAATTTGAATAATTTATAACTGTCCATTTCTGGAATCATGAAAAGATAGAATCTGATAAAACAAACTTCAAATAAAACTACAAGTCTACTTTTGAAAAATATGAAGAATTAATAAATTGTTTCAGACTAGCATTTAAAAGAGTTAACTTTCTCTTGTGTAAATGAGAAAAAAATGACCATCAAGTGATAATGAAAGATTGTTGTAGAGTAGTTTCACAGTAGAGGCTTGTATTTCACTAAGTCGGTCCTAAAAAGGTTCGACGTACAAAATGTTAGGAACTTGATATAATAGGTAATGACAGAGAGAAATCTAGTGGTGGTCACTGATACTCTTAGTGTCCGACATCGACTGACAGACCAACTCACTCAGCTACTTTGCAACTGCTACTACTCCTACTTATTATAGGTGGGAGAGTCTATTAACTATAGAATAGGTGTGTTCCAGTATAACAGAGATGCCATTGAAAAACAACTGAAATTAAGATGAAAGAAATATCACTTCGAAAATTAATGAGAGTTGGTAATCTCTGTTATATTCTTTTTCTTTTATGTGCCTTCAGTATGTAGGGGATCATGGCCCTCCATAATTTCTTGTCTCTTGTAGCTCTTAATAAGTTTTGTCTTTTTGTTATTTCTCCTAAACCCTTTTCTACTATCCAACTGCTCAAGCTCATCAAGTATGTTATCCACTGCTTTCCTCTTTCCCTCTGTCTTGTGAGTATCAGATTTTCCAAGCCTCACTTCCTTAATAGGTGTCCCAGAAACCTCAACTGTCTCTTTTTGTTTCCATTCTCCCTAAAACTTTGTTGTTGTTCAGTCTATGGTATCCTCAGCATCCATCTGCAGAACTACATTTCTGTTGCTTCATGTCTCTTCTTCATCAGTGAGGCAATTACCTAGGAGACTTGAAGCAACAGAAATGTAGTTCTATAGATGGATGCTGAGGATACCATAGAATGAACAACAAAGTTTTAGGGAAAATGGAAACATAAAGGAAACTTATACTTAACATCAGAAAAAGTTAGTAGAAATTTATGGAGCACATAATGAGAAAAGAGTGCTTGGAGAATTTGAAACTCAAAAGAATATTGAAGACAAGAGGGACAAAGGAAAGCAGTGTGCATAACCTACCTAACAAGCTTATGTAAATGGCTGGCAGAACATAGATTAGGAGAGATAGCAAAGTGACAAAAATTGTTAAGAGCTACAAAGAACAAGAAATTGTGGAGAGCCATAATCCCCTTACTTCCTGGAGGGACATGGTGTGTAGAATAAGAAGCCATTCCCAAAGCAATTATTTCTAATCTCATTCATGAAAATCTGTGGAACAGAGCTAAATCGATATTCTGATATCTAATCCTTAATTTAGATTAAATGTACACATGATTTAGCAGTAAAAAAAAAAAAAATCTTAAAATGAGAGATTTTTTTTCCGTAAGAGATAAAATTTTAGTAACTACACTGCATTTGCTTTTATTTTTCAATTTTACTCCAGGTTCCTTTTACTACCAAAAGTTTAAATTTAGATTCATTTATCCACAATACATTTGGCTAAATTATGAATATTTTGTATGAGAAACATTATATTTTATTTTTACTATTAACACCTCAGCAGACTTTTGAGATTACCAAAATCTTCATCTAAGTTAAATGCTAAAACATTTTCTAAATATTAATTCAGCACTGACTAATGTTGTAAACAAAACATATGCAGCTGTCTCTGTTTGAAGAAAAAACAGATTGTACCATTGCAATAATATTTTCATAGTTTTTTTTTTTTATTATTTAATTTTAAAATAATTTGTACTAAATGGCAAAATCAATGCATTTAAGCACTGGGGTGAGGGTATAAATTGAAATTTTGTTCAAAGAAGGCTACTCTCAAAGACAAATTGCCAAAAAAGTTGAAGACTTCTAGACATGGGGTGCAATATTCATAACAAAGGGTGTTACAAACTGGCACAAATGACAGAAAAAGAGCTGGAGTGCCAAAAGTGACAACAGCAGCTGAAGATAAAGGCTTCATTATTGAAAGCAAAGGAAAACTACTCCAGAGCTGACAGCTGAACTTAATTCCTCTCAACGGCAACCAGTGTCACACTCAACTGTGAAATGCTGACTTGTCTCAGGGGATGCATAGCCATCAAGAAACCCCTGTTGCAGAAGGTGAATAAGCAGAAAAGACTGTTATGGGTGAAAAACATAAGAACTAGACATTAAAGAGTGGCAAAGTTCAAATTTTAGCAGTAAGAGGAGAGTGTATATGAGAAGGAAGCCAGGAGAAAGACTGAATGATGAATGCATAATGGTGGGGGTGTTATGGTGTGGGGGTGTTTGGGAGGAGAAAAGCCTTCAGTTTAAGGGAATCATGAAAAAAACTCATTCTATATTGCAAAGACATGCTATACCATCTGGATTATACATAATTGGAAACAAATTAACCTTTCAGCAAGTCAACAACCCAAAACACAATTCTAAATTATGTCAATATTACCTTGAATCAAAACAAACAAAAAAAAAGGAACAAACTTTTGGAAACCATTACATGGCTGCCACAATCTCATGACCTCTCTTTCCATTGAATTGAATGAATTGGACAGGAGAGTTGAAAGAGAATGCCCAAAGATTGAGAGTGAACATTTTCAGTGTTTGAAAAATGCTTGGGAAGGTCTGCCATCTGCTCTTTTTCGAAAACTGTTGGAAAGAATGCCAAGAATTTGTAAAGCATGAATTAAGGCAGGTGGTGGTTTTATTGACAAAAACAAAATATGATGCTGTTGTATGATTTTTTTTATAGTTAAGTGCTTATTTTTGTCAAAATAAGAGTAAATACACTATAGCTGCTGGCATTTTATCTTCTTTTTAAAAAAAAAAATACAAAAAATATGACCTTTTAGGTGCCTTTTAAATAAATGCCGGTGACCCAAAACCTTTTCTTGGAGAGACAATTTACAGCATATTTAAAATTGCTATTCACATGATAATTATTAAAAAATGACTTTTTAATTAAATCCAATTAAACTATCAATATTTTTTTCTTTAAGTGGTTGAAGCTTGAAGCAATGAAGGCAACAGTTTAAATTCTGGAATTTACCAAATTGTGGCTTTGGGGGAGAAAAAAAAACAGTCAACTTGAAAGAAGAGTTTGACTTCAAATCATGTGGTAACAAAAAAAAAAAATTAAAAATATAATTCAAAACCTAATAACAATCAAAAATAAATTATGAAACATTTATCAAAAATGTAATAGCTAAATAAAATTATATTATTAGCTGGGCTAGGGCATCTACTATATATTTAAAGATTCTTGATAAAATTGAAAGAAGAATCCTGACTTGGCATCTATTCTTCCTACTCCACCTATAAGTTAAATAATTTGACTTGTATCTGGAAACTCGTGATCTCCAAATAATTTTTAATATCCATTCACAAAAAAAAAAAAAAAAAAATTCTTACAATTCAAAAAATATATTTTGGTTTTAAAAAAATCTAGAAACAGTTGATAAACCATAAAAACCAATTCATCAACATTTTGAGAACAACAATAATTTTTCTAGATACAAGTTCTGTTTAACCCATAGTTGGGAGATGACTTGGATTCATACCAAAGTGTATTTTCATGTAAGTGAATGTAAGAAACCCAAATAGAATTCGAACTGAGCTTTTCGATCTCTCATTCCCAACCACAATCCATCATGCCAGCTGGACATCCACTTCTGAAAATAACAGGCCCTCACCTTGATCATGACATTACAAATAGACATGTTCAATGTGACAGTTAATTTGAACAGATATGCCGCACTGCACTAGCCAATCAAGTCACTCCACACGTGATCGATCATTCTTATTAGACATGTGCTCACCTAAACTCAATCTTGCTGCAAAGTCTATCTATACTAACACCCAACAGTAAGTCACTCTATTAATTTTCTCTGCATTGTTGGTGAGAACAAAAAAAAATGAAGGAGCAGAATACATATAAAATTATGACTTTGTAAAACAAAAAGAAAAAAATCTGTTATAATTGATCAGCTTGTATTCTTTTTCCTTTTTTTTTTTATCAACTAATCTGAGGAACCATGCTTTCAGTACCTTATTTTCTTTTTAAAATATTTGTTTTCTGACTACAAAATACAAATGTTTCTTATTGTATGTATGTGTAACTGTGAAATACATACTTGTAGGTAATGGAATTTGATTAATGCTATATTCCGTGCTAATAGGAATATATATTTGAAAAACAAGGTGAATAAAATAAGTAAAGGGTTACTGTACAAAACCAGTACAATAAGAATAAAAGTAACAGTTATGCACAAGGTCATTGCAAGTCAATCCAATAATAAGTGCTACTACTGGAAGGTTGGTAGTTCTCGCGTAAGTCTGAGTTATACTCAACAGATCCCAGATAGTTTCCATAGTCTACTGACTTACAGATACTTATAGGTAGTTACTACCTATAGTGTAGTCACTCATGAGGGTGACAGGTTATTCCATTACATCAATTAACAAACAAAAAGATTACTTCCCTTTTTTTTTTTTTTTTGTTTTGAGTTCACCCTATGTAAAGCAGTAAAGCTACTAAGACATAAGGGATTACTGGGTGTGGAAGAATTAGAAACAGAAATATTGCTAAGAAATGAGAACAAAAGAAGAGTAATCAAGAGGACAATTGATAGCGATCGACATTGCATTTATATTTTTTTTAAGATTAAAGTTGGTTGGTTGCTTGCTTTTGTTTAATGGCATATCAACTATTACTATTTAACTCATAGGAGGGTGAAGAGGTGGATTTATACCTTTCCCAATGATACTTGTGTGTAAGTGAATATAACAAACCCAACGAGAAATGGAACTTGGCTCTCCAATTAACAAGTCATTATGCATTATACCACCTGCACATCCAAGCTTACAGCACCTGATATTCCCAAGCAGTCACCCATCTAAGTAATGACCAGGCTCGATGTAGCTTAACTTTGGTGATCATACAGGAAAAGTTTGCTGGGAGGCATGAAGCTGGAAGAGAGTTCTACAAATAAACTTTCAGTGTTTATTCCCAATTATCTTGTTCTGAATAAACAATGTAATAAGAAAGGAAGTTGTTATTTAACATTCTTTGCCAGCTGACTATCATCACCATCTTTGTTGTTATTATCACAACATTTCAGTCATTGTGCACTCCGGTTTTCATCATATGCTTTTTAATCCAGGTAATCTTCAGAGAATTCGAAATGTTTTGATAATAGGAAAAAAAAAAAAAATAAGGGCAATAGTCCACATCTAAATAATGTGAATAATAACTCTTCATTCTATAAATTCAGACAGAAACAACAGATTTACTTTTCAAAATGTCACTCCTTGAAGAGTTTGCTTCAATTCAGATAAAAAGAATTAATCTTGTTAAGTTTAAATGTAACAAAGATGAGGATAATAGTTTACATGTAAATAATATAAATAATGATAACACCTCATCTCAGAAATTCAGACAAAAGGCAATCAGGTGATAATAACAACAAAGATGAGGACAATAGTGTGAACATAAATAATGTAAATAATGATAACACCTCATCCCAGAAATTCAGAGAGAAAGTAAACTTCATTTGACAATTCTTGAATAAAATGTTAAATATCATCTTTTTTTTACTTGTATCATTCCCATTTAAATATTATTTAATATGGTCAAATAGATATATATTTTTTTGTAACTATATTAATGTCAGCTTCATATTATAGCCATCAGTTTGGCCATTGCTAATTGTCGATGTCAACTGTCAGCATATTTCTTATACAATGTTTACACTGAGCCCTGTGGACTGTCTAGGCTTTCAAAATTGTCAGCCAAGTAAATATAGGTAAAGCACTGTTGATAACAATTGATTGAGAGCAAGGGAACATAAACTTTGGGGCACTTCTTCCAAATTGTTATGGGAGCACTTTGCACTTTCCCCCCCATGATGAAGCCTACAGCCACATAACAGGTTCCCATATGATCACCGAAGTTATGCAACATGGAGCCTGATCAATACCTAAATGGATGACAGCTTGGGAATACAAGGTGCAGTAAGTTTGGATATGCAGGTGGTGTAAAAAATAATGGCTTGGAATTGTTAATCAAAGAGCCGAGTTCTAATTCTAGTTGAGTTCATTATATTCATTTACGTGCAAATACCATTCAAAATAATATGAATCCACCTCTTCTCCCCCATCTATGGGTTAATCAGTAAGTATTCTAGAAGACTTGGCAAATGATTCAATATAATCCTTCCACCTTTGGATTTAGGAACTGTGTTATAAGTGAACTACTTGTTTTGAGTACCCATCTTAATCTCAGAACTGGCAAAACATTCTCTTCTGAAGCTTTGAATGTTCAAACTGTAGCGGAACTGAAAGGCAGCAGTCTGTGGGTTCTGCTGAACTGACTACAGTTCACCGTTCTAAGAGGCAACGAGTGGCATGCATGATATGTAAGCAGAATAGTGGACGCTTACACAAATGTAGCAACAGTCCCTGGCTAAATGAAATGCTGGACAAACAAGGAGAAAAAAAAATGGCCTACCTTAGAATTCGAATTAGCTTGAATGCGTTTTACTGCAGAGTGCCAAAAGTTAACAATAAAAGTCCAAGCGTCCGGGGGGGGGTATTTATGAGTCACGGACGTGTAACATATGCAAATTTCGGCCAGTTAGAACTGATATAAAACGAGCAATCTCGCAGGTGGGGGCCTTCTCTTTTTCTTTTGTTCTTGAGTTGGTCGTATGGTTCGGGTGTGCGTATCGTCGGAGACTAAGAAAGACTATAGGAATCTATCTTCCTTCTTATACTTGGGATGGCAGTGTCAAACTTAAAACCAACTCTTTTCCTTTACAAACTCTATTACAAAATAATCAGAAAATAAGCTTGGAACAGTTTCTGTTGTAATATAATACTGATGTATGTGTCGTATCAGAAGCCAGTCTCCAGTGTGAAATCTGGGAAAGGTCTGCTGCATACTCACCAGGCAATGGAGATGAAAAACAAACACTATATTGGGAAATGAGAATGCAAACCCTGTCTCCAATATTATATTCAGATGTTATATTCAGTGTTTCACTTGCTTCACTTGTCTGGGTGGGTAGGTAGGTGACACATGGGACAACTTCTGCTATGTTGGTCTAACAGTTCAGCTCTTCTCTTCAACTCTTCTGCCTACCAACCCTCTGCTCATCTCATTATCATGAGGTGTGGATGATGGTAACATGAACGGACAGCATCGGACTAAGACAGTGTAGTCACATGGATTAGACTCAAATCTTTCACTGCCAATCTAGCATCATTCATACTGAGGAGCTCTGCTAGATTGGCTCATCAAATGATAGAATGAGATTTAAAATAAGCTGGCAGATCTTTTCAACACATGCATCTATAAATATCAGCTGAGTATAATGAAGAAGTATGTTTGAAACATATTTCAATGAAAAAGATATTGATATTAAAGTCAATGAACCCCATCAGTATCAATAAAAATTCATATAGGCAATACATTGATGTTTAAAACATTTCTCTCTCTCTCTCTCTCTATATATATATATATATATATATCCATGGTACTTATTGAAAAGTGCTCAATATCAGTGATAGAGCAAACATATTCAGTCATACTCATATCCATACAATTGAATATATATATATATATATATATATATATATCTGCAGTACTTAGTGAAAAGTGCACAATATAAGTGATAAAGAAAACATATTCAGTCATATTCATACAATTATACAATATATATATATATATATATATATATATATATATATACTTTCTATATATATTATATATCCGCAGTATTTATTGAAAAGTACTCAATATCAGTGATAAAGAAAACATATTCAGTCATATTCATATCCATACAATTATATATATATATATATATATATATATATATATATACTTTCTATATATATTATATATCCGCAGTATTTATTGAAAAGTACTCAATATCAGTGATAGAAGAAAAACATATTCAGTCATATTCATATCTATACAATTGAATAAATATATATATATATATATATATATATATATATATATATATGAATATAAATATATATATTATAAGGTGTGCTATATTTATGGGATAAAGTGTTCAATATCAGAGATAGAGTGTATGTAAATGTAAAAGTGAATATTGAAGTCAACACTCAGAGTCGACAGGCTCTTTCATGCTAGATGCAATCATCAGGTCCGATGATTGCATCTAGCATAAAACGTACACATATATTAATATATATAGATATAGTGTGTGTGTGCTTACATACCAGAAAAACTTTGATTCTTGATAACAACTGTCATGTTATTGAACTTCAGATTAAATATCAATTTAAGAAATGCTTTTTCTAAGTGAATATGTAAAATATAAATCACAGAAAGTAACTGAAAAATCTACATTTCACACTCAATTTAAATGAATATATAATTTTAGTTTTCTACAAACCAAATAGCCAGCAAGTTGTTAAAAATTATTTTGAAAGCTACTTGTATGACAAATGCTAAGAACTGTAGCCATATCATTTTGTAAGTCACAAACAATTAATCTGTTCATGTTTAGTAAAATTAGGTACTCACTTTTACAGTTTATGCTCACAAAATATGAAATTATCATTTAAAATAAAGTTGTTTCATTGATGTAAAATATTAAAGTCTACACAAAATGAATACAATGTCTTTTTATTAGAACAAAATAGATTAAATTATTTTCTAATATGTATACTATAACTTGGTGATTACTTCCATCTTAATGGTAAGTCTGATCTCATAAGTGTAAATTAGCAGCTGATCTCAAAAATGATCTACAACCTGTTGTTTACTGGGGGCAAGAAATGGCTTGCTAATTTGAATGCCTCCAAAATGAAATTGCTTTTATTTAATTGTCTTAGAACATTTTTTTGCTTTCCATCTGATGCTAACATTCTGGAGATTGACTCATTATATCTTCTTGGGATAATGTTTTTCTGATGACATGAAGTGGAAAGACTATATTGAAGCAATTGCTGCCAGGACAGTTGGTTCACTGTGTCATGCTAGACAATTTTACTTGCCAGAATCTATCTTGCACAGGTATAAGTTCATCATTCATCCATACATTGAATGGTGCAGCCACATCTGGTTTGATGCTTCTACTATGTATTTAGAGATTCTTGATAAAATCCAAAGAAGAATCTGCAATGTTATTGATCCTGACCTTGCATCTCGGATTCAATCATTTTTCCCACCACCAGCATAACATAGCTTCACTGTGCCTTTTCTATAAATATTTTCATGGTGATTATTCTGATGTGCTTTCCTCTTTGGTATCATGACTTTACAAATTTAAGCGTAGTACTAGATTGGCAGCTTGGACTCAGCATTTTACTGTTGAAATTGTTAGAAGTAACCAGACATTCTATGCTAACAGTTTCTTCTTTCCGACTTTGGTTTTCAAATATCGAAATCCAATACCAATCATTATCTTTTGTCTTCTTCATTATTGTTCTTTTTTTGGTTCTCTCTCCTTAAAAATGTTTTTCTTTTTCTCTCATTTTTTCACACTCAGTAACCCCTTGCGTCTTAGTTGCTTTATTGTCTTACTTGGGATGAAATAATTAAAAAATATGACAAAACTTCATAACACCATTTTTACAGTCAACAGTATTTTAAAATATTGTTAAGCATTGTTGTATGAGTCACTGGAGTTTTCTTTTTAGGTTTTCATTTAATACACAAGACATTATAATTTTTTCTTTTGAATATGTTACTACTGACTTTCAATATTATTAAGTACATTTTCCAGTGGATTAAACACTTAGCAACCCCTTGTATCTAAGTGGCTTTATTGCCTTCAGAGTGAAATGATTAAAAAAAAAAAAGAAATCAATTTGTATATTTTTACAGTCAACTGTATTTTTTTTTTAAGCAAATCACTCTAAGTCAGGAATGCCACTAGCAGAGAGTGAGAATAAGAGTAAAGAGGAGTAT